CTTTCGGAAAAAAATGTGCTGGTAGCACTGGCTTCGACACAAGTGTTTACAGACAATCCTTCGCAGCTCGTAACCACAACTATATATCTGACCGCCTATCCCCCATCACCGTAACCCCAAACGCCATTTCAACTTGAAAAATAAAATTCAAATAAATTCCTGCATTAATAAATTTCTTTTTTTAAACCTATATCCTTTATTTTATTACTCATATTTTTTTGGCGATCACCAAAGTTAAGCAAAGTCGAGGCTGGTTAGTATCTGAATGGGTAACCGCTTGGGAATACCAGGTGTTGTAAGCTTGGATGTGCGGATGGTTTAATGGATAATGACTCGGAAGAGTTAATCGGCGAACCGAGTTCCAATTCCAGTTGGTGTTCGTTATATTCACTTACGCGCAAATACCCTTGGGAAAGTTATGAAGCCACAAATTCTTCCCCAGCTATGGGTTAATTAGTAAGACTTGTATCACTAAACTATTATTATCTCAAAACAAATTCTTACATTCTAAAAATATTTTATAGCATGCAATGGGTTGATAAACCATAGAAAACGAATCAATAGACAATAAATATAAAGGGTGTTTCATTAAGACGGATTATATATAAGGATGTTTCATTAAGACGGATTATATGTAAGGGTTTTTCATTAAGACGGATTATATGTAAGGGTGTTTCATTAAGACGGATTATATATAAGGGTGTTTCATGAAGACGGATTATATGTAAAGGTGTTTCATTAAGACGGATTATATGTAAGGATGTTTCATTAAGACGGATTATATGTAAGGGTGTTTCATTAAGACGGATTATATATAAGGGTGTTTCATTAAGGCGGATTATATATAAGGGTGTTTCATTAAGGCGGATTATATGTAAGGATGTTTCATTAAGACGGATTGTATATAAGGGTGTTTCATTAAGACGGATTATATGTAAGGGTGTTTCATTAAGACGGATTATATATAAGGCTGTTTCATTAAGACGGATTATATGTAAAGGGTGTTTCATTAAGACGGATTGTATATAAGGGTGTTTCATTAAGAGGGATTATATATAAGGGTGTTTCATTAAGACGGATTATATGTAAGGGTGTTTCATTAAGACGGATTATATGTAAGGGTGTTTCATTAAGGCGGATTATATATAAGGATGTTTCATTAAGACGGATTATATATAAGGATGTTTCATGAAGACGGATCAAAGTCAGCAGTAAATAAATTTTTGGCGAAAATTTATTTATTTCTCCATTGGATCATGTTATTTAAGTCATGGCAATTATTTGTGAAAAATATCGCCCAAATGTCCGCCAAGGCTTCGGTGGCACACCTCCACTCGATGGTCAAAATTTTTGATGACGTCTCCGCATAGTTGATCCTTGATCTCACCAATGTGCCTAATTATCTCATCCCTAAGCTGTTAAATTGATGTCGGTTTTATTTTTGAGATGACCCCGAAGGAAGAAATCTAAAGGCGTCAAGTCACACGATCGTGGTGGTCAATTGACTTCGATGTTTCGAGAGATGATACGACCTGGGAACTTCTCATTCAAATTCTGTTTGAACGTCCATTTTCTTAATAGACATCGATAACTTTAACTCGCTGTTTGATTGTTAATCTTTCCATCATTGAAATTGCCAAAGGCTTAAGTTCTAAAATCTGAAATAAAAAGAAAAAAATAATTATATAACGCTTAAACTTAATTCACATTTAAAATCCCTCCAAGTTATTGGAACACCGTATATTATCATAAGTTTTGCTATATAAGGAATTTTATAAACCTGAGAAAAGGAATCGGAAATACTTAAATATAGTGGTCCACTCATAAAAAACAATAAGGAATTTTTTTAGGAAATAATTTGAAAGGTGAACATTCAAAAGAGCATCCATAGACCGTGACATTTACCAGAATAAAAAATATTGATTTGTTATCGTTTTAAAAGTAGTGTGCTGGTTATAGCAATGATATGATGTCAAAACCATTCTTGAATTTGAAAATTTATTGTCTATAAGGCACTTACGTTTATTTACAAATGTCAAGTTTCAAAATATAACATTATTGATATCTACATATATTTTTATATCTTTTTTTTTTTTTATCTTTTTAACTTTTTTTTAACCATTTAAAATTTTTTTTTCAGTAAGGGATTTTTCGGGAGCACTTGCAAAAACATTTGATGTTATTAATTATCTATCTGAAGTTAAGAATAACCTTATGAATAATTGCATTAATTTATATAAATTTTTGGTCTTTATTTTAAAATCAATATATCCGTTTGTTCGTTATTTAATAGATTTTTCTGTAACCTCACTTTTCAAGAAAAGTGATTTCGTATGCAAAACAACTAAGCCTAAAGATTTTTCTGTAACCTCACTTTTAAAGAAAAGTGATTTCGTACGCAAAACCACTAAGTCTAAAGATTTTTCTGTAACCTCACTTTTAAAGAAAAGATTTGATTTGCAAAACAACTAAGCCTAAAAGATTTTCTGTAACCTCACTT